ATCTAAATAAAAAGCTATTTTGCTGTACTGTTCTCTCTCTCTCTCTCTCTCTGTGTGTGTGTGTGAAAAATGTCTATGTAATTAATTCAGAAGAGTGAGGAATTCAATTCGCACCCTTATCTCTTCTGGTGATTCTAAAAATCTAATGCGCTACCTTCATTACAGAAGAGAGAAATTAAACGAAATACATAAAAAAAACAAAACAAAACAAAACGAAACATATAAAAGGCAAACAAAAAAAAAAAATAAATACAAGAGGGAGAGAATACTATTTCTATCTAAGATCCACAAATTCTTGTGAATAAATAATGAGCGCAATAATAAAAAAGAAATAAAAAAAAAAATACCACGCATTAGGCACACTCATAGAAATAAAAAGAGCACATTTACCCTTTCTTTATTTCCCCCCCCACCTCACTCTCTCTCTCTCATCTTTTGTAAATACGTAATAAAAAAAAAAAAAATGATAGATGTTCTGAATGGGTGATATCAACTAACAGCGTCGTGTCCGTTTTCACTTTTTTTCCAGAGAAGAAAAAGAAGAAAAAGAAGAAAAAAGAAAAAAAAAAAAGAGTGTACCAAAGAGCAAATTTTGTTTATCTGCAGACGCTCTCAAATATATATATATATATCTGTTCCCCACACCTCTTTCATCATTTATTTTTTTCTTTGTTTTTTTTTTTGTTTTGTTATTAATCATTTTTGTTGTTCTTTCCACTCCAATTCTCTCCTTTTTTCCCTGAACGAACTGGTACCAGTATTGTTACAATTCCACACATCTCCACAATACAAGGTAGTTGTTCTCTGAGTTCACCGTCTATTTCCAAACACGTCAATAAGGCCTCTCCATTTAATTTATGCGAGGATGGATTTGTATTTCCCCCAGAAGGACTTTTAAAGGAACGCGAATCTACATCTACAATAGACCGCGCCGTATTCCATGTTGTTGTGGATGGCCAATGTGTATGATTGCCAGTATATATAGAAGGAATATGCGAAACAAAGCGAAAGAATGTGGCTACCCAGTTCGTTATACTTAAAAGACCATCTGTGGGATTAGCGTGTGGTGTTACCTGCAAACCCCCACCAAACCATCGTCCATTTCCAAATACTAGTGTAGAGGATGGAAAACAAATCCACCCATTTTCACCGTTAGAATCCTCCACAGCGGCGAGGATTTCACTTGGTATTTTAGCCTCACGCGTTTTGTTATCGGAGTAAAATGGATTAGGTGTATTATCTACAGTGGAAATACTATCCACATTAGACGGAGAAATATTTCTATCATTCACATTGTAAAGATAGTAATTAGCACCATAGCGAAGTGGCTCTGTCTCTGGAAGTATATCATTTCCCTGACATTTATGTAACCAATCCAAATCTTCTTGTACACCTTGAAATGCTATTGTTGTAGTTAATGTGTGTGGATGAAGAAGTGTACTATTTACACATCGTGGGATTAGACGGTTGGATGGGATCTCCACAACTGCAGGGAGTGGAAAGAGACGAAATGGTTTGGGTTTCATTTGTACAAGTGAAACTATAGAGGCAAGAGCAAACATAACTGTTCCTCCAGTCATAGAAAGTAATCTGTTTTTTCTATACTTATTAGCCTTTTCAATAACATCGCATGACATTCCACATGAACATTCATTAATAAAAAAGTAATGTCGTCCACTTCGTGGGAAATTCACACGACCAACATCCACATCATATACTTTAAATCCAGATAATTCGTTTTTGTTTCTATTTGTTTTCTTATAGATAGATTGGGAAGCATCACGTGGAAGCTTACCCTCTTCTTCTTCTTCTTCTTCTTCTTTATCATTATCCACATTCCTTTTCACATGCACTACTCCCATATATATTCTGGAAATAGTTTGTGAAGGTGAATGCGATATCACCTGTTCATATATACCGCGTACAATAGATACAAATTCATTTTCATTTGAACAGCTAAGTTTAAGCCGTGAAAAGTCCGCACCTGTTCCTGCACATATATATATTAAAGGAGGGAGAAAATGTCGTAAAATAGATTTATCCTCAAGTGATTGCCAATAATAACGTTTAGAATAACAATCATTATGATGATCCCTCTCTTCCTTTTCTTCCTTCTCTTCCTTTTCTACATTGTGATGTAGTAGTGTTGGGAGAAGTTCATGAAAAGCCGAGAGAGTACCAAAACACATACCGTTCACAACATCACTTAAAGAACCATCTCCACCCATAGCAGCAAATATATGAAGAACTTCCCCTTCCTCAGATAAAGAGGCTTCATTCGTAGTCGTATTACCATTCGTAGTCGTAGTAGTAGTTGTAGTAGTAGTAGTAGTAGTACTACTATCATTAGTATTAGTAGTAGTAGTAGTAGTAGTAGTCGTTTTTGTTGTTTTTATTGTCCCTCCTGCATTTCTTATACATCGCCGCAGTCGGGTTGTTACTATATTCCGTGCAATGTGTTCGGCAATTTCACGTCCACGGATGTTCATTTCCGTGCTGATGATATCTACACACAATCCAGTCCCATCTCCCTCAAACGAGATAGACTCATTACTCTCATTCCCCTCTGAAAATCCAAACTCTTCTTCTTCTTCTCTTTCCCTTTCTTTTTCTCTTTCTCGTTGTTGTTGTTGTTGACTCTTCTCTGCGGTTGTGTGCGGCAACAATTCACTCGCCGTCCGCACACGTGTGATGGCTGTTGGGCATTTTGATTGGAGTGCCTTTTGAATACGGCGCTGCAGTACTTTTCCACGGCCGCGTCCACTGGTTGGATTCGCAATCAACCACACATGCACTAGCGATGAGTCCATCTACAATTATCCGCAGAAACACTCTGCAGCGATAATGTTTAGATAGACGGAAAGGGAGAAAGAAAGAAAGAAAGAGATATGTATATATATATATAAAGAGAGATAGTGTGTATATATATATATATATATATATATACCAAACGTAATGGCGGATATTAATACAATTATATATATAATGATAATTGCAATCACGCACACGCACACACACACACACGACCCCTCAGCCGTACTAATTGTAGAAGGGGAAATTGTAGGTAAATGAGAAAATAGAAAAAAAAAAAGAAAACAGAGAAGGAAAGAGAGGAGAATGAAGGATAGAGACAGCAGAAAGAAAAAAGAATCCACAAGGAGAATATATACATATATAGTAATGTACTCTGATAGTATGTACTACAATCACAGATGGATCAAGGTTAGAATACCGCTAATAAAAAGAGTTTCCTACATAAACGAAAGCAAACAAAATTTTTCAAACCTCTATGCCTATACCCACGAAGAATGTTTGCTTGTGTGTATGTATCAATAATAATAATAATAATAATAATAATAATAATAATAATAATATATATATATATATATGGGGAAAATGTATGAAAAGTGCATAAATACAAGCGAACAATAAATAGGTATCATCAATTCAACTCAATAGGAAATACAAGCAAGGAAGAAGAATGATAATAATAATAAAAAAAAAAAGAAGAAAAGTACAGTAAAAAAAGATTTATGAATGAGATAGAACAATCACTGGTCCTCTTTCTGTTTTTTTTTTTCCCTTTTTTCCTCCCCTTTCACCATTTCTTTTTTTCTCCTCCCCTTCATTCCTACAAAACGAAAAAAAACAAAACAATAATAAAGCTCATAATACATGTAGAAGGGTCTATATATATATATATATATATATAGATAATGTATTTACTAAGCATAGTAGTAGTAGTAGTAGTAGTGGTGTCATTAGGTGAAGAAAAAAAAAAAAAAGAGAAATGAAACAGACAGTAGTACTCTTTACAAAAGAACAGAAACATCCATTAATAAAAAAAAAAAGAAAATAGATGTAGAGATAGCGAGTATAGCATCATTTTTCAGATTTTTTTTTTAAATTTATTTCTTCTTTTTTTTTTTTTTCTCTCATGCACGTGACGGAATGAAATAACTTCATTTATACATCTCTATTCTTACCATTATTCTCTATTATTTCTCCCTTTTTATGTTTCCTTATTTATTTATTTATTTTTATTATTTTATTTATTCTTCTTTCTCTTATTGTTTCTCTTGCTTAACACTCATTTCTTCAACTCCCTCTATTCACACAGACAGAGAGACAATTATAATAATAGTAATATTAGTAGTTTTTCTCTATTATTATTTTATTTTTTTTGTTTTTTTGGCCTATTATTCTCCCCACCTTTTATTTTTCTCACTTACGCCTATTACTTCTAGCTCTAGCGGTATTAATACCAACACCGCCAGCAGCAGCAGCAGATCCATTTTGAAGTTTCTTTGTTAAAAGATTTACTACAGATCTTTCAAAATTTCCCTGTTTTTTCTCAACCTTTTCACTCATTTTACCAAACAATCCATTTATCTGCGAGTTCACTAATTCCCGTTGTTTGTTTAATGCCAATAGTGTTCGTTCATTGGATTGTTTACTGAAAACCTGAAGAGCCTTTTCCATTGCATGTTGAATACGATCTGGAAGTTCCAACAGTACCTTCTCCATTACTTGTTGTTCATTCTTGTTTACCCCTTTACTCTTCTGCAGAGTTTTTTCCAAATCCTGCTGTTGTTCTCTACGCATATTTAATAGTTTCTGCCCGAGGGATTGATCCAAATTTCGTTGAAGATTATTTCGCATTCCCTCCAATTCTTCACGTAAATCAAGACTCATTTGCTGTTTTGTCGGCATTGAACTGATAGACTCATGAAGCCGTTTCTCCAATACTCCAAGAGATTTGGAAAGATCCACCTTATCAAAACCTGATCCATGATGAGAATTCTTTATTTCTTTTTCTATGGTTTGCATATTACTTTTTAATTCTTTTAATACTTCTTTAGTTGCAGAGAGTTGCCGTTGAACATCTGCGAATTCTTTAGTGGCGTCTAATAAGACTTCACGTTCATTTTGAAGACTTTCCATTAACTCTATAACCCGTTCTCTTGACCAATACTCTACGAGTTTGTTTAGTGTACTGACGAGATGATCGGTAGACTTTTCATGTCGAAGTGCCACTTCTTCCAATGCACTGGTGACAATAGACCGCAGGGTCTCTTCATTAACAGCATTGCTTACAATATTTTCTTCCTTTTTATATGAACGTAATTTATTTGGAAAAGGGAAAATATTTTCCAATTCGGTTTCCTGAACTCCATCTGTACTATTATTATTATTATTATTATTATTATTATTATTATTAGTACAATTGGATACTTCCGTTGTTCGTAGGGCAAAAAGGATATTCTTCTCACTAAAACAGTGAGGGGCCATAAGAACAGTAACATCTACACCTTCTAAAAGATTGGATTGAAGATGTTTTTGATACTCTTGTCGAAGTAAGATGGCATCTTCTCCAATAAGAAAAGGGGCACTGAGAAGAAGTAATACCGATATCGGTTCTTTCTTTTCTTCTCCTTTTTCTTCTTCCTTCTCAACCTTTTCATGGCTAACCTTCTCCATACAAACTTCCTTCATAGTCTGTGTAATGGTAATCAATGGAGTTCGACACGCCCCAGCACCGGTGAGTCTGTAGTAAAGTACAAACACTTCTCCACCGCCGTAGAGAGGAAGATTCAGCAGATCTGCAAATCGAACTCGATCCACAACGCCGGTAAAGAGTGTTCTCTCTACCTGCGTTGGTACTTTAAATGGAGCGGCCAATGAGGATCGAAACATTCTCTGTAAGGACTCCCGTGTTTCAGTTTGGGAAAGTGGCGTGGGTGATGTTCGTGGCTTCACCGCCCCTGGAGGAGGAACATACGAGAGAGAAGTTGCAACATCATCATTCTTTCCATCTTGAACTTTTCGTTTTCCACCTTTTCTTACAGGTGTTGTTTTTCGTTTTTTCAAATGCTCTTCACTTTTATCTTGGCTAGAGGCTGCGATATCTTTATTGTTTTCTTTTGATATCTGTGATGATGCCATCATCTCCTTTTCCTCTTGAGGTTTTGTTTGAGTTGTGGTGGTGGTGTCTGCGGCTGTGGGCGTTTTCCCTGCATTTTCTCCAATCTTCACAATCATTCCATTTCCCTTTTGTTTCTGCAGAACAGACCGTGCGGCGGCCGACTGCTCGGCATCCAAAATAAGTGCGGTGGTGTCTTTAAAGCGATCTCGCTGTTGAAGGGCGGCTGTTAAGACCAACTCATTGGCCTGCGCATCATCCTTCTCAAGAGAGGTGTGCACAACAACGAGAAGCGGATGGTGAAACTCCGGGTTCTCTTGCAGCTTCACAACTTCATGATCGTGTGAAATGAGAAAGCGTAGAATAGATGCGGCGTTATTACTCTCTACACTTCCACTGGTGTTATCAATGATTAACACATTAGCAGTGGAGGGAAGAGTCTTCTGCAGGAGTTGAATGAGATTGCTGGTGTTGTACGCAGGGCGAAGAAGGGCAGGAGGTGGGGTCCCATTTAAAGCAGAGACCAACAACAATCGCCTAGCACAACGGAACATACGTTAAGATATATGTATATATATATATATATATATATATATTATGTATGTAATGTATGTATTATATGAAATGTATGAATGTATGTATGTATGTAAATATGTGAAACGATGATTCGACAGAGAACGAAAAGTTAAAACAAAAAAAGGAAACGAAAAATAGAAAAATAAAAGAGAAACAAAAGCAAAAAAAAAAAAACGTTTGGGTTAAATACCTTGACAAACGCTGATGCTGTTGCTACTGTTTCTATCGCTATTTGTAAAAATGGCCTACCAAAATGAGAAAGAATATAATATTTATAATATTATATGTGCGTTTAAATTTACTCTCTCTTTCTATATGTATATATATATACTTAATTTTTTCTTGTGTACGTGTTTATTCCTTCTCCTAAAGTAAGAGTGGGAACGATGAATATACGTGTGTGTGTGTGTACGTATATTATATGTGAAGATAAGGTCTGAAGTAGTTTCCTTTTGTATTATGGGTAAAACAAAAAAAAAAGCAGAGAGAAATAAAAAAAACTTTCACTTACACCATCTATAAAAAGCAAAGCAAAAAAAAAAAAAAACAAATGGTCCAGTCACAACAACAATAACAACAAATAATAATAATAATAATAATAATAATAATAATAATAAAATGTATACACGTTATAGTGAAATAAACAAATAAATCATGTTTTTTTTTTTTTTTAAATATCACGTGCAATGTTAACTTCATCAAACGGCCCGGAATCCACAAAAGGCACATAATCCTCCCGGTGCTGGGGTGGATACTCCACATCCCACAGTGTGAGTCCATACACCGGCGCTGGTGGGAGTCTTTCCCGCTTAAACCGCCGCCGTGAGGGTTCAAATCCACTTTGAATGGCCTGTTGTAATTCTAACTCATCCCACAATCCATGGCCAGCCGCCTTCAACACACTCACCATATTTCGAATCTGATGACGAAGGAAGGATTGCCCAATAAACCAAATCAATACTTCATCATCTTGTCGAACCACATCCAAGCGATCAATTGTGCGAATGGTGGGTAAATTGGTGGCCGCACGATAATACTCCCGTGGATGGGCTCCTGGCTGAACAACCCGTTGACCGTATTGATTAAATGTGGGAAGGGCCTCCGCCCGATCCAAGTTACTTGGCCCTTTTTCTAATAACACCTTTGGGGCTTTTCCCCGTGTTTCCCGCGGAGATTCCCCAGTGGCGGTGGGTTGATAATGTTCATCCACATTCGCTCCAGTGGCGAGACCACCGGGACTCCGTGCGGCCCGCCGAAGGGCATTTGCCATTTTTGGATCTGCAAAGTAACCAAAGTCCATTGTGCCTTCCAGTGCCTTTGCAAAGCGCTGCATGCGATCCACATCTAAATGACGATCTACATGCCATTGCAATCCAGCATCAAAGAGAGGTGGAGCCACACGATTGAGAATACGATAAACATAAACCCGTCGAAGTCCACTATAACGAGCATGGAAATCTTGATTTTTACAACGTTGACAAGATAATATCGCTAGAGGTTGTTGTCGTTTCTCTAACCACATCGTCGCTCGTTGAATAATTGTACGCGGTTGAAGCATGATATGACTGGGTATATCGACATGACAACACAAACGACGTACAGAGACCCCAACTTCTGGTATTACACTTGCAATCACCTTCACACTATCCACATCCAGAGCCACGGCTAATGCCTCTTCCAATACTGTTCGAGCATGATATCGACTACTCATGGTTTCTCCAGTAAAGGCGTTTTCAGAGTTTCCAGTGAAGTTTGTTTGTTGAAGTGGAACTTGTCGAACTGTTCCATCGGGAGATATCTCACGTCTATACAATTGACGTTTTGTACTTTTCCACCATCCATCAAAGTCATTCCCTTGATATTGCACATCCACACGATAACGTGTACTTCCAGGTGGAATGATTTGTTGACCAGGAACATATGTTTCCCCTGCAGGATCTGTTTTGGCTTTTCCATCTTCATTTCCAGCAGGAGGAAAGTATAAAAAGGCATCATCCAATAATTCTTGTTCCACCGCTTCTACACTAGTGAGAGAATTACTAGTAGTTCCATCTCCAGTTTGTAAAGTATATAATTTATTTCCAAAATCTTCTTCTTCTTCATTAGGTACGGTTGTAATGACAGTCGTTGTCGTTTGGGCTCCAATTGTTCTTCCAGGTTTTTCTCTTAACAATTGACGTTTTCTATCATCCTGAAAAAGTCGTGTAATAGCATCATGAGCAGCTCGTTCTTGTTCCTTCTCTTCTTTATTAAACCATCCATGTTTACTTGATGAATTGTCTGCAAAGATAGACTCTCCTTCTACATGTTCCACCTCAAATGTTTCCTTCTCATCACTTATTCCTCCATCCTTTGAATTATTATTATTATTATTATTATTATTATTATTATTACGGAAAAAACGAAAACTGCTCGTTATGTGTAGAGAATGTATAGAGAATAAAGGAAACTGTGGAATACCTCTTAAAGACATTACACGCACCATTGGTGCCGCAACGGACCGTGATTGTAGGCGAGAACAACCATTTACAGTCCACATTCAAAATTAATATGTAGATCTAATGACCACACCCCTTATTTCCTTTTTGTTTATTCTCACTTGTATACTCTCTTTTTCGTTTGTTTTTAAAAGAAATAATAATAATAATAATAATAAAAAGAGAGAGTTAAATGTAGGACTTGTTCCTGTCTCTTTCTTTATCTATATATTTGTAAAGAGATAGACAAAGAGAAAGAAAGAAAAATATACACAGAGAATCTTTTTTTTTATTTTTAAAAAATTCTTCATCTCCTCTTTGTTAACATGAAACTGCTGATTTTAACAGCAAAATTACAATTCAGGAGAGTGCTTTAACGCAAATCAAAATTATCACACTCACATAAATACAGAGAAAAGAACAATATTTATAAACAAAAAAAAAAAAAAAAAATCTCCCAGATAAGAACAGAGAATACTTTGCTCTGGTGTAAACAAAGATAATCACCTCAACAAGTGACGAAAAATACCTTTCAAAGCACTGAACAGAATTAAAAGATAATAACCTTTCAACATAGATGCGTATATATTCATTCTTGACATTCTCTTCTTTGTTTCTCTTCTTTGATTTTGTAGCATATTACTAGTAATTCCTTTCCTATCTTTTCTTTCTTTCTTTCTTTCTTCTTCTATTTCCATCTCTTTATTTTATATAAAAAAATTTTTTTTGATTGGTTTTCTTTCTTTGCTCTTGATTCCTCTCATGCGATACTTTATTTCCCTTTCTTCTGCTTCTTCTTTTCTTTCATGAGTTCTCTCATCATCACTACGTTATTAGCATGTATTCAACTAACACATCATCCTCCTTCCTTTTTTTCTTCTTCTTCTTCTTTTTTTCCTCTCTCATCTCTTCATCCCTCTCCATTGAAATTAGAATTGGTTTCTTTTCTTTTCATAGTACAGTATACAACAAATGACTGGCTTTGTGTGTCCAACATAGCAGGTAGATTGCACTCGATCGGCGAGTAAGCCTGTCCACATACGCAGACATTGATCGCTGCTGGCCGTAAAGAGAAAACGACCACAGTCACTGAAAACACAATCCCACACCCATCGTGTATGGCCCACCATCGGTTTCAGTGATCTAAACTGCAATACACCACTGGGATGAGATTGATTTTGTCCTTCCATACTTACAGATGGGATTACAGAGAATAACATGGAAGAGGCATCGGGGACATCTACTGGCCGTACACTTGCGGGTTTTTCTTCTGCTGCTGTCTGTGTAGATGGCTGCGCATCTGCTGGATCCACTATAGTTGTATTGGTCTTACGCTTTTCTGCATTATCACTAGTGATATCGGTTGGTTGAATGTCCGTTGTGTTTTCTTGTTTCTCCGATACAGTGGGTTTAGTAGATCCACTTTTCACGGGATGTAATAAGGCTGATGTGTTGATGGCTTCTTGTGTCTTTTCTTCACGTGTTGGATAAGTAGCGGCGAGTACATCTGCTGGATAAGAATCAATAGGAATAGTAGTAGAAGTGGTGGGATCACTTTCATGACTACTGGATGGTCCAATATCTTCACGTTGAAGTAATTTAAGTTGATCCCCTTGTTGAAGTTCTGGGGGAATAAGAAAACGTCCAACCGTGTAATCTGCACAGCAGGTGACCAATAAATCTGTATTAGGAGAAATAGCCACTTTTAAAATATATTTATAATGTGCCTGAAAAGAGTGAAAAACTTTCATATAGAATTGTTGTCTAAGAGGAGATGTTTGTATAGATGTATTTAATGCCATTTCACTCCGCAATAATGCCTCACTTTTACTAGGAGATACTGTCACTTGCAGACTACTAGGATCCAAACTGTCTACAAGTATACCAGCGGTTGATCCTCTACTATGACCCGCATAGGCGGAACCTAGTGTAGTACTCTTTAACGCACTATTACCAATCTCATTACTTACAACTGCGGATCTATACACACTCCCCGGTTGAATACAACTATTATCCGTAAAAGAAGGTTTCACAGCAGAGCCGGTTGTCGTTTCACAACTTCCAGTAGCTCCACTTTGATCAGCGCCTTGTGGATCGGTTGTAACTTCTTCATCTGATATTCCTTTTTTATCAGTATTCTCATCTTTGGATTTAAATAAATTATTATTAAATTCTCCTTCAAAACGTAAAAAGTGTAATTTCCCTGCATTTGTTGCCGCTACTGCCCAACGTGCTAATGGTTCAATCGCAATACTTCGAATAGCGGTGTAATCCGAGTCAAATGTAATTTCCTGTAATGGCAGGTATCCAAAGGAATTATCCGTAGATCCTTCCCCTTGTTGTGTGGCCGCCTCAATAATACTTGGTAAATGCCAAACAGAGACACGTCCAATTTGTGAACCTGTCAGTAATGTTTGTCGATTAGGTGAAATAGCACTGCAGGTAATAGCCGCCCCTGTAGAAATATCTCGAATGAGTTTTAATTTCGTAGTGGCATTCACACTAAAGAAGCGAATATGCCCATCCTCAGAGGTTGCATACAACACAGGCACGAGTTCCTCCACTGGATTATCCCCCGAGGGCCGTTGCGTTGAACACAAATCCAACGTGGCGTTAAATAAACTGCTGTTCGATCCTTCAATGGACTGCGCAAAGAGAGTCCCACCGGCCGCACCGCACTTTAAAGAGTGAAGGGGAAAACTGCCAAGACTCGTCATGTTCATCGCGGAGGAATTCTCATACGATGAAAACAACGGCGGGGCCTGCGTTCCTCCTCCTCCTCCTCCTCCTGCTGTATTTGCATTGGCAGCATTATTATTATTATTAGTATTAGTATTATTATTATTATTGTTGGCGGCGCCGATATCGTAAACCCGCAAAACACCAAATCCCGCCACGACGAGATACGTGGTGTCTGGAATGAGTAAAAGGGCATTCACTTGGGAGTCCTGAAAGGAGAAACAGCGGACTGTGCGGCCAGAGGCTCCATCCCAGAAGCGGATCTGTTTATCGTATGAGGCGGAGATGAGAAATGCAGCACACATTTTTTTTTTTTTTGGATTCTCCTTTCTTTCTTTCTTTCTTTCTTCTTATTATTATTGTGATTTCCCGCCTTATATATTTTGTTTTGGTTCGACTTGTTAGGATATCTTGTCGTTTCTTTCTTTCTTTTTCTTCTTTCCTTTTGTTCGTATTGTTCAAGTGTGTATTACACGAAAACTTCCTATCAATCTATCCCTTTATCAAGTTAAACACACTCTACTGGGACTATATGAATATCCTTTTTTTTTTTTCTTTTCTCTTCTATCTCTACCAATCACACAAAAACCCTTCTTCTATTCTTCTTTTTTTTTTTTCTGTGTTGGACTCCTCTGTTCAACACAAGTAAAGAAAGGGATACTTATCAAGAAGAACAATATGTACTTGAAATAATACTCTTTCTATATATCTATATATAAAAAAAAAATATATATATAGATAAATAGATATCAATCGCCCCTTCTTCTGTACCTTATGTGTGTATGTGAGTGTACTTCTCCTCCCCTACATTACAGCAGAAATAGATAGAAAAAGAGCATAAGAATAACAACAACGATGACTACAAATAGTAATAAACATAAGGATTATATATATATATATATATATATATATATATATAGACGCAAAAAAAAAAAAAAAAAAACACCCTTTTCCTTCTCATTACTTAAGTGATATAAGAGTGAAAGAGAGAGAAAGAGAAGTAAACATAAAAGTGTCTTCCATCACCTTTACGGCACCTCACACGTTCATTTTCTTCCATTTACCAGAATTAAAGAGAGAAAAAAAAAAAGAAAAAAAAACAAAACAAAATAAAATAATAAAAATAACAGGAGTAATAATAATAATAATAATAATAATAATAATAATA